TTGAGCTGAGGGTGAGGAATATATTGGAACAAAAATTTGGAGCGGAGCACAGCTCGGGGTATTAATGGAAGCAAAGCCTAGAGCGACAGAGTTAGTGTCAGTTAGTGTTAGTTAGTGTCCTTTTCACACATGTTGTCTCAGCCCTGTGAGGTTTTCAGTTCTGCTTAAACAGAGTTTACAGGATAAATTGGTCAAAACCTAAGCAGCATCTGAATCCTCGGAAAACCGAATCAATCCCAACTTGGCAATAAAACAAGAACGAAAGAACATTAGCCATCATCACAACAAGTTCACAGAGGACACGGAGGGACTGATTCACTCCTAGACTTGTCTTCTTTGTTTATGCCTTTGGCAGAGGAGGAGGGGATGTTCTGCTGGAGTCTATAAGCCAGCACACAGACCCCCACAGCATAATAACAGAGAGGAAAGAGGGCCAAAGTTGCTGCATAGTTTGTTTTTTCAGTGGAGGGGGGAAGAACACAGGGATTACTGTACAGTACCTGTGGTTCAAGGTCACAGTTCACATTACCATAGTAACTGATTGTGTAACAAGATCAAAGTAGGGCAAATTAGGAGCTGATTAGAAGCACTATGTGAAAACTTCTTGCTTAGATTTTTAAAGTTTAGATTAGTGTCAGTCAGTCAGGGCTCGAGTGACCATCTCACTGAATGCAGTCATTCATGCACACACACATATATGGCTACACCAAGAATCGTCTGATCCCCGTGAGAGAGTTTATTTAGTAAGACAGCATGTGCTTGGGAGGAGAGGGAAAAAAAGGAAAATAATCAGCAGTTCAGACCAGTTCAGACCAGTCTGGCCGAGAGCTTACGCTTTCATCTCATTGTTTCAAGTTCCCTGCAGTGAGCTCTCGCATTCAAAGTTCACACCGAACGAATGAAGTTCGGGGAAATGCTGCTTTAATCTCATCTAAAAAGTGCAAAGGTGTATTCACAGATTGATTTGTTCACCTCTTCAACAAACATGAGCATGTTTGTCTTTTGGATCTACAGCCAACAGAACACGCGCGGCTACATTTTGTGTCCTGGATAGAGGGGAAAGGAAGAATCCACCAATGTGCTGCACTGGTGATACAGAGAATGACTTACAGAGCGAAACATACAATTAATCAGACTGCACGTGGACTTTGAGCCATATTGTTTAACGTTAGCGCTCTCAGTTATGCAACTAATATATTGTCCCTCAGCGGGGATATCTGATCTTGCCGACTGTACATTTCGTAACTTTTCTGCTTGTACGCTCTCTCTTCTTCTGATTGTTTTTCTGCCCATTAAGCAGCGCCTCCTGCTTCTTCCTCTGACAATGAGAATGAATGACCTAGTTTCCTCTCACAGACAAAGAGTAGCCTGTTCGGTTTGGAAAGCCTCCCTCTCTTTAATTTTGCATGAATGGAGATAATTAGTCAGTTCTCCTTAAAAATGCACCATTAAGAAAAATATATATATATAAACGATCGAATATAATACACCTGACACAGATGCAGGACACACTGCTGAAATCACAGAGCACACAATACTGTAACATACACACGACTTCTGCTTTTAAGCTCTGTGAAAAATATACTTGACATATTTAAAAGAATTCCTTCCTTTGTATTCCCATCACCTTCTCTGCCATTACAGCATTTTTCTGCCCGGTTCTCTAAACCCTCTCCCCTCTGTTGAGCCCCTCTCTATATAACTAACCACCTCCTCTTGTCAGCAGGAAACAGTGGTTGCAAATTATGTAAGAAGGCCCCCTTTCTGTGATAAGAATGCAAAACAGCTGAGCCATGTGAAGAGCTTTGCGACAGCTTCTCCTGTGTGAGCAGAGTGGCGCAGCGGAAGCGTGCTGGGCCCATAACCCAGAGGTCGATGGATCGAAACCATCCTCTGCTATTTTTACTCGTTCCACCCAAACAGAGATTAGACATCCTGCACTCCGCACGGACGATCTGATATCCTCGTGTTGGCTTTGTTCCCACATCATCATAATAAATGTTGTTCCAAGTTCAACATTGCAAGTGACCAATCACCTTCTTGTGACGTCACTCTTCTGCGACTTCGAAATACCCACCTTAAAACAAATTTTCTTCCCCCTAGCATATTTATATTGTTGTTTCTGAATACTGTTCTTGTATTTGTTTATCTATGCATACAATTCTTTTGTAAGTACAACACCATTATTGTAGTACTGTTTAATTCCATTTGTATTGTACTGATGTTTAATTAAAGGTTTAAAAAAAAATATTTTTTTTTTCTTCACTTGTGCCCGCCTCTGTCTGTCAATCCAGCGCTCCGCTTCACTTGCGAGAAACCGCCGCCTGTCCGCCGAATTTGTAGTCCTTTTAGGATACGTTTCAAACGGTAATTCAATTCAATTCAATTTTATTTATATAGCGCCAAATCACAACAAAAGTCGCCTCAAAGCGCTTCATAGGTACAGAGAAAAACCCAACAATCATATGACCCCCTATGAGCAAGCACTTTGGCGACAGTGGGAAGAAAAAACTCCCTTTTAACAGGAAGAAACCTCCGGCAGAACCAGGCTCAGGGAGGGGCGGGGCCATCTGCTGCGACCGGTTGGGGTGAGAGAAGGAAGACAGGATAAAAGACATGCTGTGCAAGAGAGACAGAGGTTAATAACAGATATGATTCAATGCAGAGAGGTTTGTTAATACATAGTGAGTGAGAAAGGTGACTGGAAAAGAAAAACTCAATGCATCATGGGAATCCCCCGGCAGCCTACGTCTATTGCAGCATAACTAAGGGAGGATTCAGGGTCACCTGCTCCAGCCCTAACTATATGCATTATACATATGTTCCTCACTTGGCTTGCTGTTTGTTTGCTAGTGATACGCTACTTGACGACAGCATTAGCTAACCAGTGTTCTCTAGACCAGCGTTCCCCAACTTTTTTGGTGTTTCGTGGCCCGGGGGTTGGGTCAGGCAAAATTGCAGGGACACCGTGTAATTGTTGTCCCTGGGAGACTGTGTAATTAAAACATTAACACAATGGCCCAGGACAAATTTGTAAATTTCTGGATTACTGTTAATCTCCATGGAATCAAGAACTCATGTCCAGTTTCACAGCTATGGACCAGTTAATTATGTTTCCAGGTGATATTTTGATTCACACAACCATTAGTCTAGGCCTTTTAGTTCAAATTCTATTCACTTATGTTTGTAAAATGATCAGGGAAGCTACTGCAATTTTGCCTGACAACATTTTTATGACAGCTATATTCACCTGTACATTTATTATATATTATAATACATTGACACGCAATTCTCTGGAGAACACTGGTTCGCAAGTAGCCTATCACTAGCAAACAAACAGCTATCAATTTCAGCCATTTCAAGGAAAATATATGTATAATGCTTACTGTTTATTAAAGAAAAGTGTCTTGAGTGGAATTCAAATTGCTGGATCGGCGGACAAAAGGCGGTTTATCGAACAACATTTGTTTTTGAAGGCGGGTATTTTTCGAAGTCGCAAAAGTATGACGTCACAAGAAGGTGATTGGTCACTTGTAATATGGACCCTGGAAAAACATTAATTATGATGATGTGGGAACAACGCCAACACGAGGATATCAGATCGTCCAGAATGGACATGCAGGTGATCTATATGGACCTGAATATGACATTGCAGCATGACTACAGCCTGCTGAGCTGAGTTTCTTAGTCTGTCATTTGGTATGCTAAACATTTTTCTTATAGTTTAGCTGGTAATTTGCCAGAGAGACAAGCAGAACCAATAAAGATGACAACGGACCTGTGAGCGTCAGCCTGAACTCAGAATCTTGTTCAAAGCTTTGAGAGGAAGGCTTTGGACCATTGAATATGAGGATCTTCAGGATATTTTGACAATTTCAAAGCCTTTGTGTTGCTGTAAATAGGTGAATCAGATATAGCAACTAAACAGGCCTCTGATCTTTACATTTATATCCTATGGGAAACAGATAAAAGCTTAGGAATACAGTGGTAGGGGATGTTAGACAATATGCACAGCTGGAGCTTCCTCAGTACCGTCTGTTGTTGTTCACTTTGTTCTATTGTCTCAAAAAGGGTATGTCCAACACTTTTATGTGCCTTTTTTTTTCTTTTAGCGTCATCTTTGATGGAGAATATGTTTCCTTTTAGCATCACAAACACAGTTTTGGGGGGTTTGTATGAGGAAAAACACAACAAGTCATACAAATAAAAATGAATATCTTAATTTAAAATGTTTAAATTAAGTGTCTATGCTGTGTTGAAAACTACGAAACATTAGAGCACCCCCTGGAGTATTTCCCTGATAATTACATGTTTAATACAAGTTGGAGGGCATTTTTATGACTGTGACAATGTGACTAATCAACGGTGACTGATCGACAACAATATTAAAATCAGAGAAAGGTAAAGTGAGTAACATTATGGTTACAGTGGATATGGATACGGTTGGCCCAGTCCTGTTATCTTCATATATTCATAAAATTATTGCTACATAAATTTATATATCTATATATACTTTTAATATATTATTTCATCTTACTATTCCAGTTTTAACAACATTTGAAAAAACTACCACATATTGAATGGCCAGAGCCTTTCTTTGTGTAGTTTGCATGTTCGCCCCGTGTTTGCGTGGGGTCTCTCTGGGTGCTCCGGCTTCCTCCCACAGTCCAAAGACATGCAGTTAGTGGGGTTAAGTTGGTTGGTAACTCTAAATTGCCTATAGGTGTGAATGCGAGTGTGAGTGGTTGTCTGTATGTGTTATCCCTGTGACTGGATCCATTATAGCTTCTTAGATTTAATTTATATAACAAAGAAATAAAGAAAAAAGTACGTAAAAACCATGGACTCATTTTTTAAAAGTATTTTTTTAAATGTTTAATTTATTTTCATGTACCTACTGGAGGAAATAAATTGTTTAACATTAAACTGAATAGTTTGACGTCTCGTCTCTCCTACGTAATCACGCATTCGTACACGTCACCAACCAGGAAATGAGTACATCCACGGAGAGGAGGGGCGAAAGAATCACAACAGAGCCTTTGACCGTTCGCGTTTTGTGCCGCTAAAACCACAGCGCCGTTTTTCTTTTATTGACGAGAGCAAATATGTCACGGAAACTCAAAGAAGACTATTATCGGTTCTTCTCCGTTGCCGACCCACGCACACACGAGAAGGGCCACACCGAGTACAAAGTGACGGCGAGGGTGAGTTTACACTGTTTATCTCTCCTTAGCTACAGCGTCATTAATTGAAACCTATCGTAGAGTCGGGTGTAATCATGCTTAATGACTACGTGGTTAGCTGTTTTGCTTATTACTTGACAAAACGTATTTTAACTTGAAATGCGTAGCACAAAGGTGTTAGCTTAGCGCTGTTCTCTTTGGTCTTTTACATCAGTTAAAAGTAAGTGACTTGGTATTATTATAAGTAGTGTTTATTTCTAACGAAGTAGGGTGACAGACGCCCGCAGCTAGCTCATATAAATAAACAAATAACTATACAACGGGCCTTTTATTTGAGGCAGTGGTGCACAATGAGCAGCCCAATGAAACAGAGAGAACTTGTGATCCAGTTCATGAGCACCCGCATGACTACAGAGGCATGCGTATAAAGTCAAAGAGGATCAAGCACTCATGGCTCTCCCTTAAATTTATCATTTAAATCGTGGCCTCTGCAGTGTTGCCAAAAAGCAAATTTGCTGTGTCTCATTGTTAAACATGCAGCCAGTTAAGCGACTTTTACTTTATATTCTATCATCTGCAGTTTGTGTCCAAGCGTCACCCAGAAGATGTGAAGGAGGTGGTTGTGTGGAGGAGGTTCTCAGAGCTGAAGAAGCTCCATGGGGAGTTGGCCTACACACACAGGAACCTTTTCAGAAGAGAGGAGGAGTTTCCACCTTTTCCCCGAGCACAACTTTTTGGTACATGAGTAAAGATTGTGTTATGCTTTAGATTCCTGCGGAGCCTTTCATGTAATTGTTGTGCTTAATGTCTTTCATTCCTGTTTTGAGACTTTCGTCACAATTCTTGTGACATTTCCTGTCAGATTTCCTTGTCTTTATGAGAAATGACATGTTTAGGGTCGGTCTTTTTGCTTTGGTTTGTGAGTTTTGCCCATCGTGGGCTTTACTTTAAAGCGGCTGTGTTGTTTGTTTTTGCTGATGAACTGAGGGTTGTCTTGTGGTAGTGTGGCCGAGCGGTCTAAGGCGCTGGATTAAGGCTCCAGTCTCTTCGGAGGCGTGGGTTCAAATCCCACCACTGCCAGCATGAGGTGCTCTTTTAAAATGTCATTATTTACAGCAGGTAGTGCCATTTATTTTAATCTGACTCTTCCTGACAGAACCCCAGAGGGATTTGTGTCTCTATTTAAATATCTTGAAGTGACTCATGAAACTAATTATCTGAGAACTGTTCAAAATGTTGGATCAGACCTTTCCAAAAATGTGCTATATGTGCTAAATTTGTTATAATGAGATGCATTGGATATGCTCTTTTAAAATTTCATTATTTATAGCAGGTAGCTCCATTTGTTTTAATGTGACCCTTCCTGAAAGCATTCGAGGGGAGCATGTGTATGTGTTCTCTAGAGATGCTTTGCCTTCCTCCTGCACTCTATTTGCATGAGTGTTGAAAATGAAAAGCAGCTGTGCTGTATTTTTTATCAGATCATGCTGATGAGAAAAGTCTGAATGGGAGGTGGGCAGTTTTGTGGTAGTGTGGCAATTATGCAAACCTGAACTCTCTTTGGACCTTGTTGTGATGTGTACAGCAACATCGACCAATCAAAGTTAATTTCACAGTTAGCATGTCAGAACTGTGGAGTACAGTCCTCCCTTCAAATGTATTCTGAGAAAGCTAAAATGAGGTAGGATAGTGAGTCGTAGCCTTTCAGCAGGTAGTGTGGCCGAGCGGTCTAAGGCGCTGGATTAAGGCTCCAGTCTCTTCGGGGGCGTGGGTTCGAATCCCACCACTGCCATGTAAACATTTTCATTTGGCAGTGGAGAGAAAAAAGGAAGTTTAAGACACACCTCTATTTGTCTTTATTAGAAGCATCATGTTTAGGGTTGGCCTCCTTGCGAAACATTGTGTGTAAAAACTCAAGTGTAAATATGGTTCAGCAGGAGCAGCACATTCCGGGAATGGTGCGACTCCCTGCAGAGAGTTTTGTTGTCGATGGAGACAGTGTCAGGTAACTCAGTCTGTGGTCCGCTGTTCCTCATTCTCATGCTGGTCCGTCAGCCAGCTGAAGAGAAGAGCAAAGTTATGGTACACAAAGAGCTGAACTGGCTTCATTTTTCAGTGGTTACTAAAATCAAACTGCAAACGCAGCAAATCAGTTGAGCCATACCTATAAACAGTCATGATTCATGAGTTCATTCAACTTTTCATGCCCTGCTTAATATGATGGCAGCAGTTTTAACCTCGACAAATGGCGATTACTTAACACTAACACTAACGGCAGCTTCAGAAGTGAAAAAGAAATTGTAACACTTCCCTTTTGTCTCTTGTAACTTTAGGAAGGTTTGATGGGGCTGTGATAGAGGAAAGGAGAAAAGCAGCAGAGGCCATGCTTCAGTTTACTACCAGCATTCCTGCTCTGTATAACAGCCCACAGCTGAAGGAGTTCTTCAGAGTAAGACACACTCAGAGAGGCACTCTTACAATCAAAATCAACCATTACTCAAATTTCAACAAACATTAAAAGACGGAAAAGAAAAATGAAACGTGTGCCAGGTTAACATTCGTTATATTACCAGACCCCTTTTCTCTAATGCTGCCAGTCTATCCCTTCCCTTACTCAGGGTGGTGAGGTAACAAGGCCTCTGGATGCCACACCTCTCTCTTCTGCGGGGCCTCTGCCTCCTCCTCTCATCCCCCTCCCCAACCGTAGGGCATCAGACTGTGAGCCTGCTGAGGAAGAGGAGGGCAGGGAGGCTCCCACCTTGCCCCAGGATCTGGGCAATAACCTGAGCTTAGAAGTGGGAGAACCAGAAGTGGCAGCTGAAGCCTACAATGAGATCGGAGGATCTCCAACAGAAGAAGAGCAAGAGGAGCTTAGCGACACAGAGCTGGATGACCGAGGTAGAAATCTCACAATGTGTGATGGTCTGTTATGTCCTCATTTAATTCTTATATTCTTACAGTTGTTCTCACTTTTTTGATCCGTGTTTTCCGTCCAGTCCCATCTCCATTCACGGACCCCGAATCAAAAGAGACCCAGGAAGAATTCGACTCACTGTTTGACTCTGTGGCTGAAGGACTCCCATCCCCAAAGGAAGAAGTTCCTCCTCCACTATCTGATAATGACTTGGCTGTTTTTGATCCCTGCTATAAACAAGGTGATGCCAAAATAAATGTGAATTTAATCATATAAAGCTGATTTTAATCTTCCCGAATATGTGTCTTATCCATTAACGCTTTTACTTACTGTGTCAGTGGATAAGAAGATGTCTGTGATCAGTGTTTTTTGAGGCTTCCTGATAACATATACTAGTGTAAATGTCTTTATACATTTATGCTGGAGCTCTATTAGGACTTAACTGCTGTTTCTGGTTAAAAGCATCACAATCAGTGATTTATTTTAGATAGTGACTTTTTAAAACCTAACAAATAAAACATAAGACATAGTTCACTAAAGACAATATCACTACTACTACAATATCTCTTTTTCTTTGATTTACAGATAGATCCAATTCTTCCACCGACCACTCAGAGTTATTCTCACTACCATCAAACAGTGTGGACGGAGAGGACGGGGGTTACTTAAACCAAGCTGCCAAGGAGCTGACAGCTGCCATGGAGAGGGAGAAGGAGGGAGAAATTAGTTCTGCCATTTGTGGATACAGGATGGCAGTGGATATTCTGATCACTGGAGTACAAGGTGAGCCCTCAGTGTACAAAAGTATCAGTGGGTGGGTGGAGAAAGAGAGAGATACTCCTGTAAGAGGTAAAAATACTGATGAAGGAGCCGAGGAGGTGGTTACTACTACTTACTACTACTACTAGGTGGTTGTCGCAGTGGTGGAAAATTAGAATTACTAATCTGCTGTGAGCATTCTGAGTTCAACAAAAACCTTTTATGTTTTTTTCACATGGAGCATTTTACTCGAATGCTCTCTGTCATGTCTATTTCTGCGTCAATTATTAAAACAGCTTTGTTGCTATGGCAATAGACCATGAAATCAGTTTGTCAACTGCAGAACCTGCAGAATGCCAGACGGTGCACCGTGTCCAAATGAAAAATAAATTGTGCGGTTAGGTTTACAGCTGTGACGCCTCACCGACCATATTCAAGCACTTTGTCCGATGTGCTGCTACCACGCCGATAAATGCGCCGTTAACAACTTTACTCTCCTGCGTTAGCTGTTATTTTGCTATAAGCTGTTGTGTTACTGACAAGTAAGTTCTGACATCAGTTGTCTATGGTGAATTGTGCGTTTCTTTATGGCCAAAGGGAAATGTTGCACTTGCAACAGTTCTACTCTTCGTCTAAGGAGCGTGGATTGTGACCTACACCCATTTTCACACCTTGGCTCGTGTAGAGGATCATTAGGGGGTCTATGACCCTCCTGGGGGACGCTCCCCAATGTCTAGAGGACCAGAATCAACTTTCAGCATGTCGACACGCACCGTGTGTCCTGATGTGCAGGTAGTGTGGCCGAGCGGTCTAAGGCGCTGGATTAAGGCTCCAGTCTCTTCGGAGGCGTGGGTTCAAATCCCACCACTGCCACTTTAACCTTTTCAGGTGTGGAAAGTACAGTTCAGTAGCTTCATAAGAAGAACTGTGTTTAGAGTTGCTCTTTTTTGCAAAGCTTTGGTTAGTGTGTGAGAACTAATTTGTGCCCATTGTGGCTCTTACCTCTTTAAATGCAAAGATGCTGTACTGTATCTTTTTCATGTCTGTGTGGTCAAGTGGTCAGGAGGGTAAACTCTGCTAACCCATTAACCTTCTGACAGTGGGCTGGTGTTTTTTTTGCAAGGTAGTGTGGCCGAGTGGTCTAAGGCGCTGGATTAAGGCTCCAGTCTTTTCGGGGGGCGTGGGTTCGAATCCCACTGCTGCCAGGGTTGTTTTCCTTTTCCTAATCATCTGTATATTGTAAAGCACTGATAATGATTTGTATTATGCTTTTTTATGCTATCTCTCATACAAACAGCAATATAATGGTAGATGGTCATATTAAATGATAATGAGGTCAGTGCATGTTTAGACTCATGGACTCAGACTGCTGCAAACACTATGTTTCCAACACTTAGCTCTGTATGATGTCCATCAGGTTGGATGTGCCTGTTATGGACACCTCAGACATAGAGTTCTGCCTTTTGTTTACGAGGGGGGAGCCAATCAGAAGAAAGCTGTATTAAAAGGAGAGGTTGGGAAGCTGTAATAGCTTGTCTCAAACAAATAAATAAGGATTATTTTCATATATTCTAGTTGAGTCCAAGAATGCGAAGTTAAGAATGAGCATAACGTGTCCCTTTTGTTGTCTTTGTCAGTCTCCTCTGTTCTGTTACACTTTTCAGATAAACCCTCCACATGTACAATATTATACACTAATCATTTTTATCACTGTGTCTATGCAGGAGACACTGATCCAGTACGCAGGGAGTCTGTGATGCGAAGGACGGCGCAGTACCTGAAGCACGCTGAGATGTTGGTCGAAAGGCACTCCTCACCCTCTCACACTCACACACCTGCACATGCAGAGGACCACTAGATGCACGTTCGTGTATTGACGCACAATGTACAATATATGAGAGAAGCTGGAACACAATGGAGCTCAGGGTCGTGGCATACACGGGCATGTCACGCAAAGGCATACTGACGAAAAGTAGAGATAAACAGTTTCACGGATACGTGCACATACGGACATTTGGACCGTGGCATTCCCAAATACAACCGCATCCACGTGGAAATGAAACAACATGGCACAAACATACAGACCCACACGTCTGAGGTACACACTACAGTACAAACTGGATCTTTAGTTGCCTTTGTTTTGAAAAACTTGTGACTCACAAAATCTACATATACAGAAACTGAACGTAGCTGTTAACTTATTGGATTAATGCATCTCTTCTTCTTTTTGTCTTTCCTTTACATTGTCCTCTTCTTGAGCACAATAATGTATAAGTGTATCAGTGATTTACATTTTTGCACAATCTTTTGTTAATAAATATGATTTTAATTTAAGTGAGTAAGATTCCTTCGCTTCTTCGCTACATTTTGAAACACTGGCTTCACTGCTTCAGCCAACAGTGTTACCAAGTCTGTAACTACAGCTGTCCACAATCAGTCAATCAATTCAAAATAAATGTGGTTTTACTACAGGTAAGTAGTAAAAGTGCAAACAGTGTCAACACCTTTGTGCTATTTGGAATAAATCACTCATTTTTTAATAAATTAAACTGAGCTCTATCTTCTAATTACCTGTTTGAAATGAGTACACGTGACATAATTGCAGTAGTCACATGAATAAATCCGATTTTGAAAACGATGGCAACATATAAAAAGTACATTAAATCTCCCTAAAGAATGGTTGTTTTCCTCAGTAAAGATGCAAATAATCATTTTGCCCCTTAACAGATCCAACTGTCTTTTATTATCTAATCTAATAAGGGCACACAAATAAATTATTAAGGGGATTATGTTGTCTTTAGGCCTTTCATGGTCTTATATTTGTCTTTTCGGTTCAATATAAGCAGCAGATAAATAAAAGTGTGCCCATTTTGAACTACAAATGCTGAATAATAGTTTTGCGTGGTCTGCTTTGATTTCACTGTTTGGCTCAGGAACTGTTCCAACAACTGCTGTGTAACGTCATGTGCTAGCTGGAGCAGGAGCCTGACCAGGAGTCATGCTAACCATGCCACCTTGAAAACACTGATTCAAACTAAGTAAGCTTGGATGATTAAGACCAGTGTGACAAAAAAGTACTGGTCATACCTGTAAAACAGGTGTCTCCCTGTTGCAGGCATAGATACTGAAGGTTTTATCTGTCGCACTGCATAGGGGGTGGGTCATACTGAGCATTTGGACTATGAGGGCATTCACTTCATCCTGTTTCTATTTGGAGGAATGAGACTATTCCCAGTGTCCCTCACAATCGCGTTGCATGTGGGTCTGCAGTAGCAAGGCATTACCTCTGAGAGGCACTGTTGACTTATTGGATTATAATCACTAACAAACGCTGTAGTGCAGAAACTCATGCTCCCTGTTCATGTTAAAATCAAGGTAAATGTCATATTTGTTTTTCCCAGATGAACAATTTTGAGCACAAAGCAGTGAACTGGGGAGGAAACTGAAACCTACTTGTAGCCGAACTCTTCTGCCTTCAGCTATACTACTTAATGAAAAATTGATGCTACAGGTTTTGCTTTTTTGCATGCCGAGTTGGATGTTAAAAAAACGGCAAGATGGTCCAAAAAATATTGTGACTATATCTGCATATACTTGATCAGTCAAATCAATTTTTCATGCATTTTTGTGACCAAGTATGTAAATGAAGCTAAACCACGATACGCACCGACTACCTTTTTGTTAGGGGATATTTTGGATGTTTGACTAAGAGGAAAGAGATGAAATGCCAAAAAAAAAAAAGATGGAAAAGAGAAAAAAAGATCACAGCCAGCACCAGAATCCCTTCTCTGGAGAGGAGAGAGGGATTGAGTGAGCGCTGGAAGGACAAACAGATGGAGAGGTGACAAAAAAAAGGGAGGCCAACGAGAGGAAAAGGCTACCCTTTCTCCCACCACATCGAGGGGTTGCAGAGTGTGAGACATGACAGAAAGGACGGAGGAGAGGGGAAAAAAGACGGGATGAGATTAGAGGATAAGCAGAGATCATCCCTCCATTGTTAAAGGGATGGGAAAAAAGGACCCTCCCTCTTCCTCTATTTTCCTCCCCTCCACCATACCTCCTCTTTTTTCTTTTTGCATGCTTTGTTTTGACCATTGTAGTGAGCTTGAAGTGGATGGAGGGATGGCGAGAGAAAGCAAGAGATAACATTGCTCCATCCTGTTATACATCCCTCTTTTCCTCTCATCTCTCCACCTCTCTACCTTTCTCTCCATCTCCCCCTCGTTCTAGTGCTCCACCTGTGAAATGTAGAGGATGTGAGATAGGAAGATGGAGAGACAAAGAGATGGAGGGAGGGTGGGAGGTTTGAAATCACAGGGGGGGTAGAGCCTCACAACATTAGCATGCTGAGAGTGTCAGCACTCTCCTCTTTTTTTCTCTCTCTCTCTCCCTCCATCCCCATCCCTCACTCCGTCTCTTTCTCCTCACTGGTCACTGCAATTATACCATCAAAACACTCCAGCCTGAGAGCATAATAGCTTCCCCCTGTGCGTGTGTGTGCGTTATCACGAGAGATCAAAAGAAAGAGATGTGTGTGTCGGTGTGCGCCTGTGTGTATTTGTGCATAATTTAGTGCCATGCATGGTACATTACGTGTGCATGTATGACATAAAGGGCAGCTATGCGTGTGTGTACCCATTCTGGATTTGCAGCATGTGTGGGTGACATGAGTGTGTATGTTTAAGTATCTTTTTGAGTCCTGGCGACTAGAAAAACTGCTTCTCCAACCCCTGACCAAACACACTCTTAAGCGCACTCTAAGAGACCCACTTTGCATGTGTGTGCGCGTCTGCCGAGTTTCTATTTACACACACTCTCTCGCACTGGCTCACACTAATGGATGCATGCAGGCATACAGTCATGCCTCTGAGAGACAAACCGTTATGACCTACATGCCCAGTGGGTCATCATCAAGCCAAACTGCACACTGTGACACCTTTGGGTGTCTATACACACACACACACACACACACGACGCACACACACTTTCTCTGACTGTTTTTATTTTTGCTCTCTCAACTTCCTCTATTGCGCTTCCCTTCCGCCCTCTGTGTCTTCCTTTTTCTCTCTTGTTCCCTAACACACACATACACACTAACCCCCCTCTGTGAGCTTGTTATTCTTCTGTCCATTCGTTTCTCTCTGTCACCTTGCCCTAAGCTATTTGAGTACACTTCTGCCTCTCGTTCTCCCTCTCCTCTCTCTGTCTCCCTCTCTCTCACACACACACATGCACGCACAACCATTTGTTCTCTTTCTGTCTGTCTGCTTCACTCTCACCCTTTCCAGCCTGCCTGTCTCTCTGTTTCTGCCTGTCTTGACATATGTTAACAGCCTCTCTGTGTCTCTTTCAATTTGACCCAGAGCCTGAACGTCAGACAAAGCGTATCACTAAAAGCATGCAGGAAGAGTTTCAACATTTGAGCACAACTCCACCAATTTTAGACAGAAAATTCAGTTTTCTTCATCCTGATGAATCTCATAACACCCGGTGATAACTGTTTCTGTTTCCAAGAAGCCAAGGGGAGCCAAAAGCCTGCCTTCAGACTGCAAAGAAGGCATGGACGTCCAGGAAGGGTTTAATTGAAATATGTCATTGAGTTGCATTATGGGAAATGTAGGATTCAGTCTAGTATGTGTGCTTACTTCAGAAATAGGTGTAATCTATGAAAACCAAGCAACCCAGTGACACGATCAGACTTTAAAGCATGTCGCACACACACCGCAGCACCGAAAACCATCAAAGGCTACAATGAAACGTCTCTCATGAGGACAGCCCTGCAGGAAACAAAGTCCCAGTGTTACCTTTGCTGTCAGTGCATTCAGTGGAGTTACCAGCCAGTTAGCTGGAACACTGTCTGATGTTATTAACAGGAGAATGATCCAATTTGCACCTTGAGGCTTTTTAAAGGTGAAGAAGGAGTGATATTGAGTTCTGCAATATCTGCTGACCCACCTGTTAAAAGGGAGTTTTTCTTTCCTACTGTCGCCAAGATAGATAGATAGATAGATAGATAGATAGATAGATAGATAGATAGATAGATAGATAGATAGATAGATAGATAGATAGTGAATGAATGGATGTGCAGCCGCAGCGTTGGGTGATCATTTTCTGCTACTTTGTCACTATGATTGGTTTTCTCTTGTGCTGAAAATACTCATCTGACCCACTGTTGACATGAAAGTATCGATTAATGCAACTTTAATTAGATTTTTATATCTATTTCTCCCTTCACCACCCACTCGCTGCCCTCCTCTCTGCTCCCAGCATTTTCTGTCCTCTAATTTCGTCTCTCCCCGCCATCACTCTTTCACTCCGACTAAATCAATGAACATACACTTTATGCCATTTATTGATCTTTTCGTATCTATCTATCCTCACCCCCTCCTGCTCTTGCCCTCTCCGTTTCTCTCACTCTTTCCCCCCCACCATCCTTTTTTTCACCACTTTCTTTCTCCCCTTTGAATATATAATCTCTATCCCTCTCTCTCTGTCAATCTCTTCTCCTTTTTATCTCTCGCTCTGGGATATCCTATTTATATGGCTGGCACCTTCACGCTCCTACCAGAGTGTGTGTGTGTGTGTGTGTGTGTGTGTGTGTGTGTGTAAGAGAGAGTGAGAGAGAGTGTTTGATGTTAGTCTAAGTGGTTAACATAATATGAGCCCTCAGAGAGATGACGTTCAGGCACTCACACACAGACAGACACACAATTTTAGGCTTTTTGGTACGCTTTTCTGTGAACAATTTGTGCTTTTTAGTATTCTCCAGCTTGTGCACCAGATCCATGTATTATCTATCAATTGCATTCTCCCACTCTGTCCAAACACACACACACACACGGTCGCACATTCACAGCACACACACACGCACACACACACCTTTGTTCCTCAAACGCCTTCCTAGAATGACAAAAACCCAGCATTATCTTTTGTTATTTATTATTGCAGATGGAGCCATTATTTCATGACCTTGCCATCTCTCGTTCCTCCTCCCTCTGCATATGTTTTTATTTATTCAGACCTCTCCCTACCTCTCTTTCCTGCCCTCTCCTCCTCTCCGCGCGTTTATGTTTATTCAGATATGTCTCCCTCTTTTTCTCTCCATCTTTCTCCCCTCTTTCTCTCCCTCTGCACCCATGTGTCCAGCTTTTGTTACAAGCCTTGTTTCCATAACAACTGCGACCTTTCACTCAGTGCATAACCAGTTTTAATCAGAAGTAGAGAAAGGAAGAGATGGGATGAGGCAGAGGTGTTGGGTTAAGGGGGGGGGGGGGGGGGGGGGGCGTGATTTAGGTGATCCGTGAAAAGAAAAAATACAAAATTAACACAAAAAA